ACAACAGCGGCAGTAGCAGTGCTAGCAGTGGCCGGTCGTCTAGATTTCAGTTAAACGGCCATCTTCCTCCTCCCGATCGCGAAACGGAATCTACCACCTCGCATAGCCACACCGCAGGTCGCCCAACGCCTACGAAGCATGGAGAGCACCAAGCCTCCGTAGGTCGCGATCCTTCCCTGTCCTCCTCAGCCATGGCCACACCGGTCATGGTCCCGGTAGCCTCTGTTGCGATACCAACCCGAGACTCTACCTCTATCCCACGCCAGTTCAACCCTTCCAATCTGTCCCAAGCCAGAGAGATGCTCATGGAGCACCGAGATTTCCTCGATAGAGCCAGGGGCCGTGCCTCTACCTCTCTCGACCTCGACCGTTCGACTACCGATATACTCAAATCTCGAGCCTTCTCCCTTTCTGCAAGTCCTGAAGAGGCCTCGACACCGACTAGGCCGTCTTACTTGTCCAATGACCCACTCCGGTTGCCTCCCACCAAAGCACTCAATAACTCAACTTTGGATGTCGATTCCCGCTTGTCGCATCAATCATCTCTGGAAAGTAAAGTGACAGTCAGCCCTGAGAAAACCGGAAAGATCTGGTCTATTGGTTCAGGTGGCGGTGACGAGGAGGATGGCTTGGTTGAACAGTCAGTTGCCGAGGCTATGGCTGGAGTCGAGCCCAACGCCCGAAGTCGCAAAGCGAGTTACAGTCTACGATTTTTCAAAGAAGGCCTTCCACCCGAGGACAAGCCGAGACGGAGGGATACCAAGACGACACCTCGCGATAAATTATCGCCAACTTCGGAGGAAGGCATTCAGGATGACTCAACAATAGCCACGGTGACCCCGCCTGGCCATCGCATCGAAGAACCATCTACATCCCAGAGCATGCGCAGTGGTTCCAGTTGGGTTTCCGACGACTACTTCAATCTAGAGTCTACCGATGCCGTCGCCCAGGTTGACAAGATTTCTGAGACACTCCGCTCGAGATTGCGACCAGAGGGTCAAGAGGCCACATCTAAGCCGATATCGCCACCTAAGGAAGTGGGGCCGACTCCGGCTTCACAACCCGACGTTGTAGAGGGGCAACGGAGGTCAGCTGATGACCAACAGGAGGGGAAACGCCCGTCTAGCAGCGATATGGCCGGTGCCGGCTCCAAAGCCCGCGATAAACATAATGGTATTGGCCACGATGCCGATGCCGATGCTGATGCTGAGGATGCTGATGAGTCTGGCGAAGAGAAAATCTCGTCCGCCGTCTTTCTGCCCCACCAGGAGATACAAGATACCCGGACCGCTGCCCCAGATCTGTCTGGATCAGCCCAAGTACAACGACCAAGATCCATTTCACGCAGTAGTGCTCATCCGTGGCTCGTGAAGGCTGATGAACCTGAACCTGAACCTGAAGTGCATGGCAAGGGGGAGACAATCGCCGCCACCGACAATTCCCGTTCCGAACATCGTGACAATCATGCTTCGCCTGGCCTTGAGCTTCCGGAAAAGCCCACCGAGGCTGCCAACGTAGTCGAGCCTATTTTGAAGAGCCAGAAAGCGCCAAAGCCCCAACCCACTGTGACACAGTACGATGATCATGTCCATCACCACCAACACCACCCTCGCCAGCCACTCGAAGCCATTGAGCTAATCCCTTACAAGCATCAAGTGGGTGGTCATACAACGATTTGGCGCTTTTCCCGCAGAGCAGTATGTAAGCAGCTCAACAATAGGGAAAATGAATTTTACGAAACAATTGAGCGGTATCATCGTGATCTGCTTCCATTTCTTCCTCGGTAAGTGTAAAGTAAGCTTGCACGAGCGTTTTATTGCACATGGGCAAGTTGTTGAGGCACGGCCAAGTGGCTTGGTATTCGAAAGCTGCCCAGCTGTAGTTCTGATGGTATATCTGCTAACATGTTCGGCTCAGATATATAGGTGTTTTGAATGTGACGTTTCAGAAGCAACCACGACGGAAAAGCACAGTCAGAAAAGATGAAGCATCCTTGGCCGGACGCAAGAAGGCTCTAGATGATAATAATGACGCAGAAAAGATGCTGAATGGGACTGATCGTCTGGCTACCGACGTGCCCGGAAACGAATTGACTGATCCGGCGCCCACGAGAATTGTCAGCCAGTCGCTGGCAAATACCGCTTTGCAGATTCCTACAGTCACATTCAACGACAACAAGCATATTTTGCCAAGAAATCTACTGCAGCCCACCCCGCCACCAGAGTTTTTTCGACGTCGCAGTACCTCGTCTGCGAAGATATATCAAAGTGTATCCAAGCCTCAGACGCCTCGGCCGCACTTGGAAGAACGGCCCAACAGCTGGGGAGCAACAACAATAAACAAACGCCTTCGGAACGAGGTCTTCAATGACGCGTTTTTAAAAGAGCCTGTTGAAGTCCAAAAACACCGCCGCCCACACCAGCGTGCAATACCCCGACCTACGATGCAGCGGCTTCTCAGACCCACAACTTCTGACCCAAATCTTGCTGCGTCCGATAACCAGATTGAGCTCGAACAAAGGCCTCCCATCAAGGTTCAGCCACCCTCGCCGCATATCCATCACAATGGACATACCCAGAGCGACCTTGGTGCCGAAACTGCATCTCTGCCTGGACAATCAGAGGATGTGGGTGCTCCTACCAAGGACCTTACTGGAACTAGTGCCCCAGAACCCGAGATTTTAAAAGCAACCCTCACCACAGGTAGGAGGAGACGGAGGTACTCAGCAGGCGGGCTTAGACGGCGACCAGAAGATGTCCGGGAATCCCGGGGCGATCTCAAGTACTTCGAGGAAGCTGACGACGCAGAGTATAAAACCCACAACGAGCGGCTAGCCGCCGAAAAGTCTGCAAAAGATGGCGAGGCCAACGTCACTGGGCATCAAGCCGTGTACGACGACGCACCAGTTCACGGTCCCGCCCTCATTTCACCGCTGGATTTGACTCACTCTGCAGTACCGTCTACATTACCGTCTGCTCTTCCAAGTCCCACAGATGAATTCAAGAAAATTCCCCGACCCATCAACCCGAAGGAAGCCAAAACTCGTGGAGATCGTGTAGAATATTTTCTCTTGATGGAAGATTTGACTGCTGGCATGAAGCGACCGTGTATGATGGACCTCAAAATGGGCACGCGCCAATATGGCGTAGATGCAACTCCAAAGAAGCAAAAGTCGCAACAGGAGAAGTGCCGCACAACTACCTCTGCGGAGCTGGGTGTGCGTATTTGTGGCCTTCAGGTCTGGAATGCTAGGACACAGTCGTATGAATTCCAAGACAAGTACTTTGGCAGGAAGGTGAAGGCCGGGCCAGAGTTTCAAAATGCCCTGCAGAAGTTCCTCTACAATGGTGTCGACTTACATAGCGTCCTCCGCCATATTCCCGTCATTTTGAAGAAGCTTGCTCAACTGGAGCAAATCATTCATGGCCTCAGGGGTTACCGATTTTACGCCGCCAGCCTGCTCATGTTTTATGACGGCGACACGTCTGAGGAGGGAGGCTACGAAACAATGTACGACTCAGCAACGGATGTCGCAACAGATACCGAAGAAACCACCCGCCGACGACGGAGGAATCTCCGAGAAATCGACTTCAAGATGGCCGACTTTGCCAACAGCCTAACGCCCATGGATGATATACGGGACAAGGCCTGTCCCCCACGGCATCCAAATGAGCCGGATTCGGGCTTCTTGAAGGGGCTGAGGAGCCTTCGACAGTACTTTTTGCAAATACAAGCGGATATTCGAGCAGAACTGGACTTGGGGCCTCGCAGTGGCCGTGGGAAAAGTCAATGGCTGTCTGGTCCGATGGACGATTTGCAGCTTGATTTTGAAGACGATTTGGACTCGGGTTCACTTAGTCTTTGATGTGCACAAGTTTTACCTGTTTCTTTTTCTCACAGTGATGAGATGTTGTATTGTTCAGATACCCTACTCTTTCTCGTTCAGACAGCTGGGCTTGCCATGCTGTCACGTCTTTTGACATTCGGTCTCTGTAGCGTTATGTGTCTCTTGCGGAATTTTTTTTCTTTTCCTTCACACTAACTTCTAGTTCCCTTCTCTTTAATCATGTCCCCTGCTTCAGAATGTATAAATCGGAACATGGCCGACCTGCGCTTGCGACAAGGCTTATTTATACCACGTTACATACCCTGCATCGAGTTTGGCGTACCACTTTGTTGGCATGGCTCGGCCATGTTGATACGAATCTCGTTTATGAGTTTGGCTTTTGTTTGTGTGCGAGTGCGCGTCTGGAACGATGAGTCGGGGAACGGATCGGTGTTTTTGGTTGCTTGTGTGGCGTTTTGTATTCGGGGAGCTTACGGGATCGAGAATGCAAAAACAAATCATGTATTGAATGTTTATAGTTGGTGTTTGTCTGATGTGGAACTGAATGACCCTCTCCTATTTATTATTGCAGGCATGCTTTTCGGGGGTATGGGAAATTGGAGGGGCACGGGATATCAAATCAGGCATGGCATGACATGACATGGCAATAGAATATGTTAGAGAAAACTATCACTAGACTTCTATATATGACGCCCGCAGTGCCGCGGATGAAGGGATACGGCCGAGTGCGCAGCTCGTGTGGAGCGAAGGAATGATTGCTGCTGATGCCATGTTGCGCAGCTGTGTTGTAGTGTTTTCTGCCATTCTCAAAAGTTAGGTTCGTTGCGTTTATTGCGTTCACTGCGTTTATTACGTTCACTGCGTTTATTGCGTTGATTGCATTCATTGCTAGTGAGTAGCTGCATGGACCCGACATGCGTCGCGTTGTTGGTTTCTGTTCATGGAGTGGCACGGCTTTCAGCAGGCATGTTGACGGGGTGTCCCTTTTCTGTTCAAAAAAGGTCAACAATGTTCAAGATGAGTTTGGACGAGCCTGGTGTGTATATAAACTGGCCGAGTAGTGGCAGTTTTCCATGGTCATCTTACCCTTTTACTTCACCATGGTGATTTGCCACCCGCGACAACAGCAATTACCATCACACTATACAACACCATGTCTGACACCTCAGCCTACGGCGACGACATACGCGATGACGACACCTTGGTAGACGACGATAACAGCTCAGTCAGGTCTTTTGGTTCAGTGAGCACTGTGGTCTGGAAAGGCCCGAACCCAAGTCTCCCCGACCGGTTGAGATCGTACTGGCAAGATCACACGCCTTTGCCACCCCTCGACGACATCAAGATCAGTTCCGATATACCTGATCGTGTAGATGTCGTCATCATTGGCAGCGGCATGACAGGCGTGGGAGTGGCCTTGTCCTTTCTCCAACTCATGGCCTCAAAGGGAAGGTTTCCTGTCGTTCTCGTCATCGAAGCAGGAGAGATATGCAGCGGGATGACGGCTCTAAGTTCCGGGTATATCAAGTTTTTACCGCATGTAAACACACACGCGGAGCAGTGGCTGCCAATCAAGGTTTTGGATTTACAGGTGAAGAATGCACACGCACTGAAGGAGCTGGCGTCAAGGTACCCGCATGCTCACGCGAGGGAGTTCGAAACGGAGGAGCTCCACTTTGACCCTGAAGAGTTCGAGGAACGCAAGGCGGTCGTGACGGATCCGAACGGATTCATGGGTCTGAACGAACAGTATCCGCAATACAAAGTAACCATTTTGGAAGGGGATGAGGTACCCAATGTAAGTGACAGGTACATACCTGCCTGCTTGGACTGTTTAGAAGCGCTGACCTACAGCAGTATGGACATTTACCCGCGTATGGTGCTCTATCCTACAAGGCAGCGTCGATTCAGCCATATCACCTCGTCACGAGTATATGGGGGGATTTGTGCAGGCAATATGCCAACCTCCGCATCAGCACGAACAATTCAGTCAAAAAAATTGAACTCACCACAGACTCGTCTCACCCCTACAGGGTCACATGCTCCCGGGGAACTCTTCAAGCTCGACACGTCGTCCACGCTACCGGCAGCTGGGCCACACGCCTCCTGCCTGCTCTGGAAATAAGCCTAGCGCCTGGTTTGGTGCACGTGCTTTTGCAAAGACCAGGCGCTAGTTTCCCACAACGCGAGGGGAAGCACTCCTGGACTCTCAATCCCGGAAATTTACCCTTTACCGTGATCCGACTGCCCGATGGGAATGACGAAATCGGCGAGTTGCTGATTGAAAGGGAATGGATGACCAGCGGCGAGATGGATGACGGGGAAATGCAAAACACGTGGAAATATCTCCATCGCCATATGAGGGACGTGTTTGGACGGGAATGGCTAGACGAGGCGATAAGGGGGACGCTCTGGCCGAGAACTGTAGGGATGACGGGTGATTATTTGCCCCTTGTGGGAAGGATTCCTCGGGAGTATGCCAACAGAGAGGTCCTACACAGTGACCAGGCTGCTGTTGAGGCCGCTGTTCCTGAGCATGGTGGTTTGGCAACGCCCGGAGAATGGATTTCGGCGGGTTACAGCGGTCGGGAAACGGCATTTGCGTTGCTCTCTGGCCACGCCGTGGGAATACAGATTGCTGGTATGGAGAACGAGGAATTGGAAATGGTGCCTGGGAGACCCGGCGGAAGGTTGAATGACTGGTTTCCAAAGGAGGAATTGAGTTTGGACGGCGACAGGATGATGAGAGCGAATTTGGGACCCCTAAACTGAGGAATGACTGTTCTGAAAGCAGTCCTGAGGACGGCACTGAATCGAAAGTGAACTTCCATTCACTTTTGGCGGAGATCCTGCATGATCCCCACTTTGGCTTTTTCCCTTTGTATAAGCACAGATAGAAAGATGAATCTCACTCCAAATCCTGACGGCAACCACAAGGCTCATGTAATGTAAAAGCAAGGCGCATGGTGAATTCCAATCAGGTAATCGACATGAGTAACGACGACGCAGCGTGGATCGATTCCTGGCGGCACTCGGTCCCAAGTCGTCTTGAACGAGAAGATCCCTTTGAAAATGACGGCTTCGAGGCAAGGTGCTCAACCAGACTGGTGCGTTTCACGTCTGCCGCGTTTCTATTCCGTCCATGGCTTATAAGAAACGCAGACATTCCGAGAGCCAGATCCGCCGCCCAGGTCAGCAAATCGCGGCTTCTTCCGGTCCATGACGCCATTTCGACGGTCGACTGTCCAAGAAGCCGCAACCGATCGACCCCAGGCAGGACATGAAGTGCTTGAGCAAGACTCGCTGCAGAGATTCGACACGAGGATGTCCACACGTTGCGATGACAAGGGCAAACGAAACTTTCTGGGCCTCTTCTCGAGGAAACGGAAACAGAGGAGTCCTAGCCCGTCGCGTCGTCTGGCGATGGGTGGTTCACTGCGACTGAGAGTTCTGTGTGTTGGCGACAGAGGGTGTGGGCAGACGGCGCTTCTCTAGTACGTTTTCCCTTCTTTCCTCTCATAGTTTGCTGGGGAGGGGGCTGAACTGAAAACTCGAATAGTCGTGCGAAATTCGGGAGATTTGTAGACGTACGTTGATGTTGTTTGAACCAAGATGATTCAATATGGGGAAAGGAGAATGCTAATACGTATAGACGGCGGCGATTTCCCGAACGCCGTACGAGACATATATCCTCGACAAACGGTACCATTGCCCGGCCACCATGGAGCTATAGGATACTTCTGGCACGGGAGACCTAGAGACCGTTTCGAGGCTCTCGTACATGTCGTGGGGTGCAGTCCTTCTCTGCTTCGACGTCAAGGAGAAGAGGGGCATGTTCAGGGTGATCCACTGGGTATTTGTCCCTTGCTGCAAAGATGCGAATCGTATTGACCGAGTCAGTGGCAAGAGGCTGTTAAGAATGGATTCTGTAGAGATTCACAGCCCGTCGTGTATCTCGTCGGCACAAAGAAGGATCTGCGCATGGAGTGTTCCTTTGAGGACCATAGATTGGCGGTGGAGGGCGTGGGAATGGCGTTTGGGGCGAGCTGCTGCGTGAGTCGGCGCGAGGTGAGAGGCGCGTTCGCATGAAATCGATGAATGCTGATGATGTTAGGGGGATTGGCATGCTAGACGGATCGGGGCTGATGGGTATGTTGAGTGTTCGGCCGCGACAGGGGAGGGCGTTGAAGCCTTGTTTGGGACAGTTGGGAGGGCGGCACTGGGGATTGGTGATGGCTATGATGGGAGGAGGGTGACGAAGCCCAGGTTAAGTTGATTGTGTTTCATGACGGACGCGGTTTGGTGTTGCGCAGCTTAGGGGAGGCAGGTGGGCAGATAAAAGTAGTTCATCGCCAGCCACATTAATTTGTCTGTATGACAAGAGAAATGAGAACGATGAAGTCGAAATCAAAACATAAAAAAAAGCGCAAAAATAGCATTGTCTCCTTGAGCAAATTTATTGGCCCAAGCCCAGTCCATGGTTGCTTTAAAACATCAATTGACATTCAACCTGCCAAACTGGAACGCACCTACCCTGTACAGAACCACCCCGGCTGCGCTGGCTGCACCAACAGACTGCTGGACAACCTGGCCACGAATTCAAAACCTCCCCATTGTTTTGTTATAAATACTCATGAGGTAGTGCGTAGTGTTAGCGGGCGCGGCATGTATGCTGGCTGGTGGTCCAGATAGCCATACCTCGTGGGACAGCAAACAGAAGCCCCAGTACCCAAGACAACCGTCATCTGGATTCTCCCGACCCTCATGCTCCCGAGTCCCGCTCATGAACCTCCCCATCACATCATGGTCGTAACAACCATACAGCTTGTCTCCCTCCTTGCGGGCCTCATCAGCCTTGCCGTCTACGTAACTGTAAGCCCACGCCCTTGCACGAAAACGCCTTCTAAAACCTCATCAACGTTGGACACTGACCCCATCGACACAGACACGTCACATCCAGCTGTCTCAAGCCCGCCGGTCCAGGACCTGGCCCAAACCACCACCCTTCCAAGCAGAGACCCGGCTCCCTCAAAATGAGTACTACCTCTTGGTCCTCGGCTCAGGCGGGCACACCAAAGAGATGCTCATGATGATGGACGACGGCACCCGCGACTTTGGCAACTCGCACCGTCGCTATCTCATTTCCAGCGGGGACAAAATGTCACTCAATCACGTAGAGGACTATGAGGCGGAATTGAAGGCGACGTCTGAAAACCCGGGCACCTACGACACCCGCGTCGTGACTCGGGCCCGCAGGGTTCACCAGCCGCTTTGGTCTACGCCGTTTTCTGCCCTGCGAAGCATCCTCGACATCTTCCCCGTCTTGCTGTCCCCGCCGAAGAACGAGGTTGGAAAGCAGCTCAAGTACCCGGGGATTGTCTTTTCGAATGGACCGGCGACGGGCTTCTTTGTAGCACTGGCGGTGCATTTGCTGAAACTCTTCTGGGTGGTGCCGGATGACTGCTTGCGCTTCGTGTACGTGGAGAGCTGGGCGAGGATCGCGACGCTGAGCCTGACCGGCAGATTGTTGTATTATACCGGCTTGGCGGATGCCTTCTACGTGCAGCACGGGGAGGTTGCCGAGCGGTATGGCCTTGTGAATGCCGGGGAGATGGTGTTTAATTCACGGAGGGCCAGGCAGACTCGGCCTGGCTTGGATCGCCAGTAGTAATGTGTACAAGATTCGGTTGGGGTCATTCACAAAGTAGACACGGCATGTTGAGACGGATAGGTAAAAAAAAAGACAGTTCTAGTCTTATTAGACAGATGTTGTACATGGTATACAGTGCCGCTTATTCCCATACTTTTATGGCTTGGCCAACTATACAGACGCAGCCTCAACCAGCTCCTCTTCACTGTCTTCGACTCCAAACGTCTCGATTTCCGAATTCGATCTTGCTGCCCTATTCGCCGTCTCTTTGCCCGCCCAAATCTTCCAGTTTTCAAACTCCTGGTCCTCGAGCTGCAAGCCCACGTCCAGGCGGGACTTGCCAAAGTACGCCCCGACGTGCTTGGCTTCCTCGACCGCTACCCTCTTCTCAATCTCCTCCTCCTGACGGAGTCTGTAGAATTCTTTGCGCGCCGTGTCGTAGGCTTTGCGTTTGCTCATCTTTTCGGCATGCATGAGATGTAGCTGCCGTTGGACGACGCTATGTACGAGTTAGCCCGCCAACCACTTGATGTGTCTTTTTTTTGGCACATTTTGCCTTACCATTCGCCTGTTAGGGGGACACCGGGCTGTCGCAAACCCTTACTCCAGTCGCAATGCTGGTGATCTTTTCCGTCTAGTTCGAGAACGATTCGTGGCCGGGCTAGTTCCCACGGGTGGTCTTTGTAGAAACTCGTTCGGAGAGCGTCCTCGGGGTAGCTGATACTTTGGGGTCGGTACAGCTTCTTGGGCTTCTTGGCTTTGGGGTTCGGCATGCGATGCCTGGGCGTGACTGTGCGGACGAGTGTCTCAGCGGGGGGAACCGAGTTCATGACCTGGTACCATGGTGGTTGGGCGACGGTGTGGCCCGCGAGCATCTGGTGGTTCAGCTCTTGGGAGACGGATTGGAAGACCCGCGCGGGCCGTATTTGTCGGCCGCCCATGATGCTGTCCTGCGGAGACGGGGTGTGTTAGAGATTGCAGAGCATCGATATTCGGTTCGAAAATGGAACGTACAATGGTCTCTGGGATCAATTGACGATTTGGTATGAGATGGCACGGCTGCGCGGTTGATGGCGTAGTCGCAAATCCATGAACGGGTGGAAATTTTGGGTGGTCGGCAAATTGTATGGCCGATACGAACCATCTGGCAGCTCAATGATACCACAGGACGTTGTGGCGGATTGGTTCAGCGGAGATGACCATTAGCTATAGTGGGACTGGGGAGTTGCCAAAAATTAATTCAACGAGACCAGAGTCCCACCTCAAATTCGAGATCCCGTTCCTCCATCGCCTTGCATCCTGCGCCAAATTTACCATCAACTCATGACTGACTGCTTGCACATGCATATATTGCTGGGCATGTCATCATGAGGACAGACCCATGAAAATATCTGGTCGAGTGGACGGCTCTGTCCGTGGAGCGGTCCTCAACCGCCCGTCGGCGGGCTTCAGAAATGTGCATACGTCAAGGAGGACTATTTGCAGACCCATCGACATTGCGGCCGAGAGCACGAGAATAAAACCAGCGTCTTGCATGAAGAGTTCCCTATGGATCTTGTCTACCTTTATGCCAGAGAGCCGTCGGCCGTCTGTTGTGCAGCCTCGGCTTGCCTGTCGCTGCTACAGCACCGCGCCGGAGACCCTGGCGGCTACAGCAAAGAGTTTACCCTTCTCGCGGCTGCTTTCAAAGGACCAAGAGAAACGACATTTGATGTCTTTCGTCGGAGAGAGAGGAGAAGGCAGTGTGCAGGAGCATTTCGACTTCCACAGGGACCCTTATCGCAGGGGATATGCGCAGCCAGACGGCCCGAATCTACAAGTCTCCGACAAGAAGCACGATGTGCAATATCCATCGAGGGAGGAGACATTTAAGATAAGTGACGAATTGCAAGCGCACATATCAAAGTTATACGCTGCCATCGGGCAACGACTGCGCCACCCCAACCGAATTACGCTCGAAACAATTTACAAACTATACTCTCAGCTGCCAGAGCCTCGCATGCTCTATCTCACCTGGCAATGGCGAAGCAGGCTTCTGAAAGTAATGGGAACGCCCCCTAAAAGGGACATGGAGTCCATGTTGCGGTATTTCGCTCTGGTCGCAGATGTCAAGAATGCTGGTCTCACACTGCGACGTACGCAGTGGAACTTTGCCCTTGCTTTTGCAACCAAGTACGCATCACGCCCCACAGCGCAAGAGATGGAATCGGCACTCCGATTATGGAGAGAAATGGAAAGAGAGGCCAATGTCATGGGCAACGACGTGACGTTTAATGTTCTCTTCGATGTGGCTGCCAAGGCGGGCAACTTTACGCTTGCCGACATGATTTACAAGGAAATGGAGAGCCGAGGAATTGAGTTTAACCGCTTCCACCACGTCAGCCTTATTCATTACTTTGGACTACGACTAGACTCGGGCGGTATTCGAGCTGCCTACAAGGAAATGGTTGACTCGGGAGAAATGATTGACACCATTGTCTTGAATTGCGTCATATCCGGGCTTTTGCGCTGTGGAGAGGAGTCAGCAGCCGAGGACACCTACGAACAAATGAAGAAATCGCACAACTTGGCATTAAGCATGCCGCAGAGAGATTACATGATGAACAAAGTTGTCACCAGAGTCTTGATGATGTTTTCAAAAGTTGGGAAAAAGCATCCTCAGCTCAAGGAGTCTCTTCAGACCAATATCCAACTTGCGCCTGACCTGCACACCTACAAACTCTTGATCCAACATTACGCCATCCGGGTCGGGAACCTGGCAAAAGTGGCGCAATATCTCGATGAGATGAAGCATCTGAATATTTCTGTGCACCCTACCATTTTTCTCGTCTTGTTTAAAGGATTTTATCTGCACGGTGGCTTTCTGAACTCAGATTGGAGCGAGCAGCGATTGAACGGTGTTTTAACGTCGCTGCACCAAGCTAAGAACAGCTACGGCAAGGCGTTTCGTATTGAGCAGTGGCTTGTCATTTGGGCTTTAAGAGCTACGAAAAAATGCTCCTCGAATGAAGCAGTCCTCGAAACTTTTGATGCCTTGGCTCCGCGTTGGGATATTGAAGGCGAGCGGCAGCAATTCCTTCATG